TAGTATCACGACTACGAGTGATACTACTACTGCGGCTACGACTGCTACTATTACTACTAATAACACTACCACTGCTATTACTATTACTGCTTGTAGTACTACTACTACTACTATTGCTAGTACTATGTTTATAATTACTTCTAGTACGGCTACTACTACTTCGACTACTACTACTACTACTACTACTTCTGATATTACTACGATTGCTGCGACTACTATGACGATTACTACTACGACTATTACTACTACTACTACTACGACGATTCCTACGATCACTACGACTATTACTATTGCTACTACTACTACTACCACTACTACTAGTACTTGTACTACTACTACTACAACTACTACTACGACGACTACTACTACTACCACTACTACTACTACTACTACTGCTATTACTACAACTATTGCTGCTACTACTCTTACTGCTACTATCACCACTACTACTGCTACTACTACTACTACTACTACTACTACCACTATTACTACTACTACTACTACTACTACTACTACTACTACTGCTACTACTACTACTGCTACTACTACTACTACTACTAGTACTACTACTACTACTACTACTACTACTAGTTCTACGACTACTACTACTACTACTACTACTCGTCTTTCTATTTTTATTACCCCCGCTACTGATACTACGGCTTCTATTACCACTACGACGACTACTACGATTACTACGCTTACTTCTGTGATTACTATTACTACTACTACGACGACTACTACTAGTACTACTACTAGGATTACTACGACCACTTACTACTACTACTTCTACGTCTACTACGCAGACTACTACTAGTAGTAGTAGTAGTACTACTACTACTACTACTACTACTACTATACTACTACTACTACCACCACTACTACTACTACCACTACTACTGCTACTACTACCACTACTACTACTACAATTATTATTATTACTACTACTACCACTGCTACTACTACCACGACGACGACTACTACTACTACTACTACTACTACTACTGCTACTACTACTACTACTACCACTATCATTACTACAACTAGTATTACTGGTATGGCTACAACTACGAGCACGGACGACTATTACTACTTCTATTCCTAGTACTACTCGTACTACTATTATATCTATTATTACTACTACTACTACTACTACTGCTGCTGCTGCCACTACTACTACTACTACTACTACTACTACTACCACTACTACTACTACTACTACTACTACTACTACTACTACTACTAGTACTACTGGAAAACCTCTTCTTCTTCTACTACTACTACTATTACTACTACTACTACTTCTACTACTACTACTACTACTACAACTACCACTATTACTACTATTCGAATCCCTACTGCTATTTCTACTACTACTACTACTACTACTACTACTACTACTACTACTACTACTACACTACTACTACTCGTGTAACGTGTCGTCTGTGGCCGGCTTATGGGGTCAATTGAAGGGAATGAGTTCCTTGCGCTGAATCTGCAAATTTGCGTCCCACTGACCACTGCACCTTTGAAGATTCCTGAGGGTTCCCGAGGATCCCTGATGCACCTTTGCAGCGGATTTGGTTCCTGAGGATTTCTCGTTCCCCCCCCGCCTCGCATCCATTGAAATCTCAATCGTAATTCCTTCATGGGGCCAAGACCAGATCAGACCAGACTACCATGGGCTACCTACGTATCTACCAACCCACCACCTACTACCCAGTACGTACTACCTACTAGCTACCACCTACGACTAATAATACCCCGACGATTGGTACGATTTCAATCTAAAGCCTGACTCTAACCTTAGGCCTCCGTCGAATGACAGTACACATGCTAATGTGAGTAGTCATGTGCATGCTGGCAATGGTGCTAACACGAATGCTTGTATTAAGCTAATCGAATAAGAGTGCGAAGTCTAGTCTCAGTATTAGCACTCATCCGATTACTAATACTGATGCTCGCACGAAATCGTAGGTTGGGGGGTGAGATCGCAGTGAAACAGAGACCCCCCGCCGGGAAATCGGTTTCGGTTTCGTGTTCGTGTCGTGCGTGCGGGCGAGGCGAAGCTGCGCGTGCTCCTCCTGTAGTTAGGCCGAAGTAGGAGCGAAAGTCCGTTCCCGCCCGCCGGTGGCTGGGAGATGTCCCAGTTGGGCCGGGCGGTCTCCCGGGTGTCCCGGGTGTCAGTAGGAGCGAGAGTCCGTTTCCCGTCCGCCGGTGGCCCGGAGGTGTCCCAGTTGGGCCGGGCGGTGTGCCGGGTGTCCCGGGCGTCCCGGCGCTGACGTAGGTCATTAATTTCATACTTCATTTTTTTGGCGCCTGCGGCAGGCCTTCTCGTCCAATCCAGCTCATCTTATCCACTTCATCTTGTCCAATCCAATCCATCTTATCTTGTCCAACCTCCAACCCATACTGTCCCATCTTATCTTATCCCACCCAATCCACCCAACCCAATCCATCAATTCAGTTGTTTCTGCGCCTGCGGCGGGCCAATCCAATCCACCTTGTTTTATCCAATCCACCTCTTCCAATCCAATCCATATTGTAGTGGCCTTCGGCCAGTGCCGCCGATCCGGGTCGCTCGGGGTTATTCTCCAGACGCAGAAATTATGGGCGCACACTCAAACGCACACACACAGTCACACCACTTAACCTGCGCCGCAGACATGCGCACACAGCATCACCCACACACACATACTAGTTGGGAAACGCTCCTGTAGTACTAGTAGTAGTATTAGTAGTAGTAGTAGTAGTAGTAGTAGTAGCAGTAGTAGTAGTAGTAGTAGTAGTAGTAGGTAGTAGTAGTAGTAGTAGTGGTTGTGGTAGTAGTGGTAGTAGTAGTAGAGGCCTCGTTCCGCGGCTTCTCTCGACTTCCCGCGGTCTCTCTCAAGTTTCGAGCACGCGGTGAGTTTCACGATATATGTGTGTGTATGTACGCGTGCATGCATGTATGCATGCATTGATCATGTGTGCCTGTGTGTAGGTACGTATGTATGTATGTATGCTTGTGCGCGTATGTATGTATTTAGTTTGTATGTATGTTTGTATGTGTGTATGATAATATGTGTGTATGTGTGTGAATGTAAGTATGTATGTCTGGAAGATTGTTTTTCTATGTATGCAAATGTGTTTAAATGTAGGTATGTATGCATGTGTGTATGGATGTGCGTTTGAAGAGCGAGGATGTTTCAAAGAAGAGGCACTCGGTGACGCGATCGTTGAGGGATAGGAGTGAGGTCGCAGAGGAGGAGGAGGAGAATGAGGAAGAGGCGATAACTTGAAGGAAAACGATGAGACGGAGGACATCCTGCCGGTGGCGCCCTGGGCGGTGCCGCGGAAGAAACCGGGGGCCTGCCGGAGGCAGTCTGGAGGCCTCTGGGGAGCTGTTTTGGGGCCTCTTGGAACCTCTTTTGGGCCTCTTGTGGGCTTCTTGGGGCCCCTTGGGGGTCTCTTGGGGCCTCCTGGGGGCCTCTTGGGGCGGAAAGCTCGGTTCTTTCGGTTCGTGGTCCCCCTCTTGGGCCCCTCTTGGGGCTCTCTTGGGGCCTTCTTGGGCTGTCCAGAGGCCCTCTTGGGCCGTCTTGGGGCCCTCTTGGGCCGTCTTGGGGCTCTCTTGGGCCGTGTTGGAAGCATCGTGGGCCGTCTTGGGACGGACTTGGGGGCCTCTTGGGCCGTCTTCGAGCGTCGGACGCCCGAAAAGGCAAGAACGCTAAAAACCCTGAGAAAACCAATGAAAATCAACGATTCTGGCCTCTTGGGGCCCTCTTGGGAGGCCTCTTGGAAGCTTCTTGGGGCGTCTTGGAGACACCTTGGGCCGTCTGGAGGCCATCTCGGGCGTCTTGGAGCGATTTTTCGGCGACTCGGGGCCCTCTTGGAACCCCTTGGGGGTCTCTTGGGCCCCCCCCCTCCTCCAAAGCGCCGGAAAAAGCGGAGCATGGCGCCCCCCCCCCCCCTATCTTCCACTCCCCCGGAGCGGCCCCGGGGTTCGCCGGAAACTCGCACCCCCCCCCCCCCCCCCCACCCCCCCTTCCCCGGCAGAGCCACCCCGGCGACCCCCCCAGAGGCTGAAGCTCAGCCTCGAGGCTGTAGCTGAGACTCCTTGAAACTCACACGCCGGATCGGCGGATTATCTCATCCAATCCATATTATCTCATCCAATCCAATCCACCCAACCCAATCCATCAATTCATTTTTGTCGGCGCCTCCGGCGGGCTTTCTCATCCAATCCAGCTTATCTTGTTTAATTCATCTTGTCCAATCCAACCCATCCAGTCCCATCTTATATTACCCCACCCAAACCAATCCATCCAACCCAATCCATCAACTCATTTTTTTCTGCGCCTGCGGCGGGTCAGTCCAATCCACCTCATTTTATCCCATCCACTTCTTCCAACCCAATCCATCTTATCTCATCCAATCCATATTATCCCATCCAATCCAATCCACCCAACCCAATCCATCAATTCATTTTTGTCGGCGCCTGCGGCGGGCTTTCTCGCCCAATCCAGCTTATCTTGTTCAATTCATCTTGTCCAATCCAACCTATCCAGTCCCATCTTATATTACCCCACCCAAACCAATCCATCAAACCCAATCCATCAAATCATTTTTTTCTGCGCTTGCGGCGGGCCAATCCAATCCATCTTATTATATCCCATCCACTTCTTCCGATCCAACCCATCTGATCCTATCCAATCCATCTTATCCCGTCCAATCCAATCCACCCAACCCAATCCATCAATTCATTTTTGTCGGCGCCTGCGGCGGGCTTTCTTATCCAAGGTGGCAGGCTGGATGTCAGTCAGGGTGAGCATTTGATCTCACTCCCCCCCAACCTCCTTATCGCCCGCAGGGCGGTCGTATAGGTACGAATGCTCAATATCATGGGAATGTGAGTGCGAACGGGAGAGCACAGGAGGCCACTGGACGCCCGACCGATTCCGGATCCGGCAAGCCACCTACCAACATTGGGAGGCCACGCCTCCCAACCGACACCCGGATCTGGCAACACACTAACTACCCTTTCGGAAGACTCTTACAGAAGCCCTACAGACAAGCTGTCTAAGAACACGTCAACCTTCGGAGCTCCGCACGGACTTCTCGGATCGGCGCTGGGCCCTCCCCTGGGGGGCGCCTTTGGCGCTGCCCCTGGTGCGCTCCGCGCGCCAAGGAGGGTCCAGTCCCGGTCCGAGAAGTCCGCGCGGAGCTCCAGCAGTCTGTTATCCTGCAGATGTTTGTCCCTCGGAGGTCGCGGGCGATGGCTCCTTCGCGGCGGCGTTCGTGGGCCAATTCTGTGGCTGGGCGCACCCGCGGCGCTACCTTGAGCTGCTGTGGGAGGCCGGGTACTTGGGCCATGTCCTGCACCTGGCGGCTACGTCGGTGGGCTTCGGCGCCACGGGTATCGGCTGTTTCTTCGACGATTTCGCTCTGGGCCTGCTGCGCAGCCCGCGCGGCGGCCTGGAGTCCGCGGGCGACAGCAGGTCGGGGCCGCTGGGCCCAGAGGATGCCGCGTTCCAGGTGCTGTATCTCTTCCGGGAGGCCCTCATTCTGCATGCCAGTGTGCTCCTCCACCCACCCCTCCCCCTCCTTTCCGCTAAGAGATCAGCCTGGCAGCAGGTGCCCAACGAGAGATTTCCCGTCTCCCGACGACCCTGGGCACCCAGCGAAGCTGGTGGGCATCCCGCTAAGTCCAAGAATCGGCCGAGCAACGTGCCCTGTGCCGGACGGGGGTGTGCGCCCACTGTGACGGACGGAGGCTGGCAGCGGCGGTCCTGGCCCAAGGGGCCCCCAGCTTGTCGCCCCCCTTTGGAAGGGCCCAAGGGACCCCGTCAACGTGTTTTGTCCTTTGTTTCTGCCCGACGACCTGGTGCTCCTTCAGCAGTCGCACGCTGATGGGCTCCCCTCGGCGGCGTGCCATTGACATAGCTCTTGCTCCTCTGCACCTTTGGAGTTCCTGGGGCCCTCCGGGCCTCGTCTGAGGCGCCGTGGAGGCCACCCTGGGCCTCCCTGGAAGAGCCGGGGCCACCCTGGGCCGGGGCCGCCTCTGGCAGCACTCGGTGGCTGAGGGAGGCGGGCCACACTTTCAGCATTGGACCGACCGTCCAGGCAGTCACATGGGCCCGCCTCGTGATGCACAAGGGGGTTGGGAGACCGAAGTCGTTCAACCACTCACGCCCACAGGGCTGGTGGGATTAGAGGATGCGCAGGCCCGGATTGTGGGGCAGCATGGCACCCTCAGCCAGAAAGCGAGAGCTGCCTCTGCGTGGCCGAGTTCAGGCACGCTCGTGGTTCTGTCTAGGCTTCCCAGACGGGGTCCGAGCAGATTGGGTCGGAGGATCGCACCACATCGCCGATGCATCGGCGATAAAGCTCGATGTGGTACCCGATTTCCTCCACGCCGTTGGCGCCGATGCATCGCCGACGTCGATGGTGCAGCTGCGATGCATCGGTGATGCGGCGCGATCCTCCGACTCCATCTACTCGGACCCAAATCGGGAGGCATTGACAGTGTCTTAGAACAAACGATCGTTCTAGTAAAATCAGAAGAATCAGAACGTAAAGCCGACGTCTGGAAACAATATTGTCTCAGCCAGCCATGTTCCGAGAACCACGAAGGTTCTTCGAACATTCTTTGGTAGGCCTACGGGCAAATCGAGACGCTTCGCCACTGCTTGGCTTGGCACACTAGTGCGAATGATAGATGGCCTCCCGCGCGTCGCAGTCGGGCCCGCCGCGCCCGATGCGCGGCTGCTCTCCTTCGAGCCCTACCACCACTTGGAGGAGGAGTACGACTACGAGCCGTTGCCTGGGGGTGTCGGCCGCATCGTGCGCAATGAGCCGGGTGACTCCCGAAAGGAGGACATATCGCAAGGGAGGGTCGTCTTGGTCTGTCGCCAGGCTGCGGGTTGGACGGACGGGGGAAGAAGAGGAAGGAGAGGGGAGGGGAGCAAGCTAGGGAGGAGAGGGGAAATCTGGCAAGGTTACGCTTGGGTTGCAGTCCCGCGGTTCACGGCACGCACTTCGCTTCGTGGATCTGAGGTCTGCGCACCACAGGCGCACCCGCCGAGGTCGCGTCAGCACGCCTTCCCGAGTGCCCCTCTTCCCTCTCCCTCCCCTCTGTCCTCTTCAACCCCACATCTCGCATCCCTCTCGCCTTCCCCCCTCCTCTCTCTCATCCTTGCAGCTTTCAGTCCCCTCTCTCTTCCTCCCTTCCTGCTCATCCCTCTCACCTTCCTGCTCCGTTCCCTCTCCTTCGGCAGCGGGGGGATACCTGCTTAGCGCGGACGCCCAAGGTCGGCCATGGGCCGCACCAGGCCTCTGACGCTTCTTTTCGAGGGGCGCGCCGCTGCTGGGCGGGTCTGGTGACGTGCCCGCGTCTTCTCCTGCCGCTCGCCCCTGCACTCGCGTTTTCCAATGTTGACGGTGCACTTCCAGTCGGCTCGCTCCGAAGGGGCGCTTCCCCAGTCCAGAGTCACGCGCACTGAAGCTTACCCTATGTTGCATAGTCACGTCTCATGCGAAGGCGCACTTCTGCTGGGCTGGCCTGGCGCTTTGACGTTGTCTGCGCGTACCCCCATGCCAATTCTCTAGCGTTCTCTCCCGTGCAGGTCCGCGACCAGATGTTGAAAGCAGCGGCAGAGGTCGACTTAGAGTATGTGCTGAACGTCGGGGACAACTTCTACTGGTCGTCGGGGGAAGCAGGAACTGTACACCTTATCGCCTACACGATCGAAACTCACCCGACCAAGTTTGCCTGCTTCGTGCTTCTGTCAACCTTTTCATTGTCTGAACATCAAATTGCGGATCCATATTGTCTCAAGCTACTGCTCTCAAGGCAAAGCCAATGTTTCTTCCGCAAGAGGTGCTAGCTCGTAGGAGTCCTTATCTATGCTGGTAAGTGAATGGATACTCCGAGTTTCTTAACATGCGTCGGGTGCTCGTCACCCCCGCCGACAGCCCCACATCGCACCCCGTCGCGGGTAGCCACCGCGCGCCGAAGGCGCTCCGACCCCCGTCGCGTCGCGACGGCGAGGCGAGGTTGACCCCCGTCGGGGGGCCCCCCCCCACGCTTATTCAGAAACCCAGAGTACGCTCGCTGGGGTTTCGCCTGGTGCCCGTTTGGTGGCCAGTCGTGGGCGCCTCCTGGGCGCCCCGTGCGCTGGGTGCCTCCGCTGGGGTTCTGCCTGGTGCCCAGTCGGTGGCCGGTCGTTGGCGCCCCGCCCAGTGCGCTGGGCGGTTCCTCCGGGGTTTGGCCCGGCTGCCGGTTGGTGGCCGGCCGGTCGTGGGCGCCTCGTGAGCTCCCCGCGCGCGGGGCGGTCGTCGCGAGGCTTCTCCCGGTGGCCGCCCGTGGGCGCCTCGCCAGCGCCGCGTGCGCTGGGCGGTTGTGGCGAGGGGTCGCCTGGTGGGCGTCTCGTGGGCGCCCCGTGCGTTGGGCGGGCGAGTGTTAAAATTGCACGCGTAGATATGGTCTCGGGTTGCAGAGCATCGCTCCCTGGGCACGCGTATGCAATATCTGACAGAATTGAGGATGGTAGGGGTGGGGAGACAGATGAGGGAAAGGAAGAGAAAGGAGGAGGAGGAAGAGAAAGGAGGAGGAGGAGGAGGAGGAGGAGGAGGAGGAAAGGAGGAGGAGGAGGAGGAGGAGCGAGACGGGGAAATGGGAGGAGGGTTGGCAGACTACGTGATGCGTTGTTGCTTCGAGGGTATTTGCAGAGCTCGCGCGTCGAGGGAGCGAGGTTGCACGTGGAGGGAGCGCCTGCAGGCCCCAGCGCAAGCACTGTGCCAGAGGCGGCTGCGAGAGAAAGCCGGCTGGGCGTGCGCGAAATGCGGCACACTGCGAAGCGCAGTCTGAGCCCGAGCGGAGGGACAAGAGGAGTCCAGCGTCGCTACTGCGAGAGGCGCTGCGGAACGCGGAGGCAATCGAAATTATACGAGGAGGGCACGTCCAAGAACGTGTAGACAATTCCCTTCCACTACTGGTGCGAGGCGAAGGGCGCTAGCAGCTCTCCAAGCTGATGCTTTAAGATCGGGCACCGTTTCGGGGTTGGCCCGTTCGTTTAGCGAAGGTAGGTTTTCGAGATGGTCGCGCAGCCAGTGGACATTAGAGGTCTGTTTCGTGAACATCCATGCGCCTCGGCTTGTCCGAACATGGTTATCGACATTCTGCAACGCAACGCGTACTGTGTTCAAATCGTCTGTGTGTGAACACGCTGCTTGTTGGTTCAGCACGTGTTGGCCCACGCTTTGGCGAACGTATCGCGCCAGCCCTACGTTTTCAACATACGGTGTTGAGCTCCGTGTCAAGACACTGCGGGTCGAGTGCTGCGTATCGGGTCAGCTAAGTTTCGCGGTGCCGTGGACATTCGTTGCAGTCGCGGAGGTCAGCGACTTCTGCAAAGAGGTCGACGTCAATTTAGAAGTTGGCAACGGCGCTTGCCGTAAGGCCTGCGACGTGGTCAGCGGCAGCGGAGTCCAGACAGTCAGCTGACCGGTTTGCACTGCAGAGGTCTAACTTCCAATGCTATCCTCCTCTTAGTCCTCCCCTGCCTCGTCGTCCTCCCCTCCCCTCCTCAATTCCTGTGCGAATCAGGGAAAAGCGATCTTGTGTAACTTTCAGGCTCTCCTGCTTCTTCCGCTGGCTCTTGCTCCGCCGTGGCGCCTGGCCGGAAAGATCGGCAGGTGAGTGCAGACAGTGAGTTCGCGTGTCGCTCCGCCAGTTCTGGTCCACCACGCTTCGGCGCGACACGCTCACCATGGCCAGGTCCTCAAACGTCAGCGTCTGGCGGAGCGGAGCGACACGCTACTCGCTTGCAAGGCAGTGCCGCCGGAGCCGCCGCCGCGACACGCTAAGCAAGAGACTTCCCAACGTTCATCACCTATTGTTTGCTTCGTTTTGCCGTGATGCTCTTGCGAAGTGTTGGTCGCTGTTGCTTTCAGGTCAAGGTTCACTGCAGGAGCTTGCCCAGTGCAGGTAGGCTCGTGTGAGGTTCCTGGTTTGCCTTGCGAAGTTCTGATTCGCAGAACGGGGAGCGGAGCTGACCTACTTACTCATCGTCGACCTACTACGCAAGAGCAAGTCTTGCGAAGTGTTGGGATTGCGGCAGCGTGGAAGAATCGATATGGGTTGTGTTCCATTCGTGCGCACGTGTCGGCCAGCGGTTGCTCTGAAAGGGCAACTTTCGCCAGGTGACGCCGCAGTAGCAGGAATCGTGCTGTCTGACATGCCCCAGGTGACGGAGCTGCAGCTTAATATCAACGCGAGTTCCTTGCATCGTTTGTTCCCGCGTGCTTGTGCAGCGTTGGTGGCGCACCGACACGCTGCTGGTGTCTCGAAATGCATCCTTGAACAAGGTGTCGTAGAGCGTCGAGCGTATCAGTGTCTTGCCAACGTCCAGTACAAGATTCTGGGCTGCAGGATCGAGGGTGCTCGATCTCAGGTATCGATAGTGGAGTCTCGGCCAGATCATTCGCTATGGGGACAGGTAGTCGAGTACTGCGTGCTGCGTCTTCACGGCTTGGAGGGATCGTTGGACTTCTGTGCGGTGCTCCTGCTGGGATGTTAAGGCGCCCTGGGAGCATGGGCCAGTATCGGCGCCCCAGGGCTCGCTGCGTCGCTTCCAGGAGACGAGCGCTGTCGCTGGGAAGGGCGGGCTGGGTGTAACAGGCGGCACGATGCCGCAGGATGCCCTCGGCATCGAGGACGGTGCGGCCGAGATGCTGCAGGCACCCTGCTCGGATCGCGGAGAGCAGAGGCTCCAGCTGATGCCCCAGGCCCGCTGCGCTTCGTGGCGATGGCGGTGTCGTGTGCTGCGAACCTCATCGCGCGAGGTTCGCGGCCGTGTCCTAGAGCGCCGGTGCTGGCGGAGGAATCAGGATCGATCAACCGACCCCTATCCCCGTTCCCATGCGCATCCAGACCCCCGCCATCCCTCACCCCAGTTGTGGATATGTCCCTCGAAGCCCGAAGTAAACAGCCAATATTTCCATCTAGGGGGGTTAATCGGCCAGTGGAGCCCAGGGCACGCCCATGGGGACAGGGGTCGGTTAACAGTGCTCAAGGAAACAAGGGATGCGTAGCCCAGGTGGGGTCTCAGTCCTAGCGTCGTTGTGCGCTGCCTCCTGTGGGCAGGCATCAAGCCGCTGCTGGGGGGTGGGTGGGAGGCGGCGCAATCTCATGGCTCTTGAGCGGCATGTTCACGAGCAGGACCTTGTGGGTGTTTGGGACATCCAGTATATGAGCCGCCGACTACCACAGAGCCCTCTCGAGACGGGCAGGTGAAGGGGGCTGCCAGGTCGCCATGCCGAGCCGGTGTCGATGCCTCTGTGATGCCGGTGACGGCGTGTCTTGTCGAACGGCGGTGGGATGAAATCGCCCGCTGCGCCTGCGAAGCATTGAGGCCAGGGCCCTTGAGGACAACTGGGCATACGCAGGCTGCGCAGCACTGCGTCGTCTGGAACAGACATTCGCCCGGATCGGACGTCTCACCACCGGAGAGGGAGCCTGTGCCGCTTCCTGGCTTCGGCAGCTGCTGCGAGGTGAGCTTGCTGCTGCGAGCCCGTGTAGGCGCGGGGAGTGTGCTGCGCCCAGTTCATCGTGCTGGTCGGAACGTCACAGCTTGCCTTAGCGGTCGTGATGTGGTGTATGTTCGATTTTCGGGCCGGACGAAAAGTAGGATACTCAAAATCTGCTGCATGCAGCTGGTGTCCTCCCCGCCGCCGGGCCCATTCCTCCATGCATGGGCGCCTCCCGGCGCCAGGAGTCGCCAGGAAAACCAGCTACGTGAGCTGATTGTCTATCCTGCCCTTTGCTATCCTACCCTTTCGTCCCCCCCGAGATTGCCCAACCGATCGAGAGCCCGGCGTAGCGCCATTCAGATTCGCTGCGGCGTCGCGGTTGACGTCGCCGCATCTGCCCGCGAGACGAGCCTCAGGGGTGGCGAAGACACCTCTCATAGATAGATGGCACGGGCGCCCTCCGAAATCACGAGGCGACACGAGTCGGCGGCCCAGTTTGTGCCGCAGCGTGCTGTGCACAGGGCGCATTCTGGCCTACATCATAAAATGCGGAGAGATTCGGGGGCGGCCAAGAGGTGGATGATGACCAGGGGAGGGGGGAGATCATGACCCTGGCCATGATATCTCCCCAGATTTCATGGCCCCCTCTTCCCATTTCGATGCGTCCCTCGGTCACCCCCTCGTCCGCGCACATGCCTCGGGCCACGCCCCGTCCGCGCAAATGCCTCGGCCACGATGTGCACCCGGCACATGCATCGGGTCATGCCCTCCCTAAGATCCGACGTCGCGAAAAACCTGAAGCATCGGACAAAAATTACGACCAGAGCCCTAGCGCCCATCGTCCTGCGTCATTTCTCGAGCCGGATTGATCTGTGAGGGTCCCGGGGCACGAAATCGACTGCACGTAAGAGTGGCCCTTCGCCAGAGTGACCTTTGGTGCGGGCCCACAGGGATCTTCCGATCACCGAGTGCGGTGCGGTGGTATATAGAGTCTTGCGCGCCTGTGTTTGGTCCCCCCGCGGCCCCCCCGAAGCCGCGCAACAAAGGTCACTGTTACCCAGGGTCGCTCCTGCGTGTAGCCGACGAACCCCCCGTTGTGAACAAGCTGCAGCGCCAGGATCTCAGGCCTCGTGGGCCCCCCCGAGAGGCAGCGCACAGCGCCGGCAGGGGCCCCTCCTGCACGCTGCAGAGGGCGGAGCTGCTGGAGTGCGCAGCAGACGCGGAGTGCGCAGCCGAGGCCGAGGGTCTGGCGTGCTTCGGGTCTAGCCGGGACCCCAGGTAAAGGGAGCTGGTTAGTGAGTGGGCCCCGAAGCCCAAAACATCGGCCAGAATCGCTGCGCCAGGTCTTCCGTAGCTTGTGCTTCTCGGGTGACGCCAGTTCGGGTCAGTGGAATGGGGCGGGGGCGGCGTCCCCTGTACACATCACTAAACCAGGTCCCACTAAACCCAGTCCTGCCAACGCCCGAGTGCTGGGCGTCGCGGGCCACGGGCGCGCTTTCGAATCGAGCGGAGAAACACGGGGACCATGACCAAGATGTCGTGGGATCTTGTCGATGCCGATTCGCGAGGACCCACGACTTGACGCTGACCAAGATCGACGGTGACCAAGATCGACACGACGTTTCAGCGTTCAGTCTTGGTCATGGTCCCCGTTTTCTTCCCCATCCATCGAAGGGGCGCCGAGTGGGCTGAAGTCGTGAGGCTACGAGGGAGTAGGAGCATGACGACGACTAGGATGAGGAGAAGGAGGATGAGGAGGAGGAGGAGGAGAATGGTCACATCGCCTACGGTGGTTTCGCGTCGCGTCGACCCGCAGCGACCGCGTCGCCGGTGTTCGAAGTCGGCCGCCGCGGCGACACCGCCGCCGGCGCTGAGTGGGCTGAAGTCGTGAGGCTACGATGAGGTTGGCGCATGACGAGGAGGAGGTGCGCAACTCCAGAAGGAGGAAAGCCAAAGGAAAGACAACGGCATAATCGTAAACTTTCAAAGCTCCGCGGATTTCTTAAATCTGCGCTTGCCCCTCCCTGGCGGCGCCTCTGGCGCCGCCCTTGGGGCGCTCCGCGCGCCAGTGAGGGGGATGCAGCGCGGGTGCCGAATAATCTCCCGCGGCGGCCACACAACACACCTAGCCGTGACAAGCCGACGCGGCGTCGAGCAAACCTCGATGGCAAGAGCTAGCACTTCACATTGCGACTAGGAGGAAGAGGAGGAGGAAGAAGAGAAGAGGAGGAGGAGGAGGAGGAGGAGGCTGGTCACAGTGCCCAAGTCGGTATGTACTCGTTGTTTCTTCTCAGTGTTCGTCTCGTAGCCACGTCAGCCATGTCAGTGCAGCGTCGAGTGGGGGATGCTGGAGGAAGAGGAGGAGAAGCAGCAGGAGGAGGAGAAGCTGCAGGATGAGCAGGACCGGGCGACGAGGGAGCAAGAGCAAGGAACAGAGTGCCCCCCCTCCGCTGCTGGCGGGCCCAGGTCTGGAGTGGACGTGGAGTGTGGGCAGACCCGTGGTGCGTCGAACTTCAGCACCCAGTGGGACGACATATTCGAGGAGCTCGTCTCGAAGAAGAAACAACTACATAAACATAGCGTGGAACCCAAACAGTGAGAGATTGCACAGTCGAAGTGTAAGCTATGTAGTGTGGTATATGAGGTGCGATCCGCCTTGCAGAACTTGTTCATGTAACAGTGGGCGCCAACGACATGGGGGCCAATGGCCAGGGGCGGGTAGGAAGTAATCGTGGACAGACGAGAACGCGGAGGCACGAGTGGCACTCTCGGCGGAGCAGGTTGCACAATCGACCAGGTGAATTGACCAGCAAAGCGTGATTTCAAGTCTCAGGGCGTGTTTCATCAGCTGCGTCTCGTCGAAAGAGGTTTCTGGAGGCGCCCGCTTTTTGACATCTACCTTTTTTTTTTTTTTTTCTCTCTCTCTCTCTCTCTTTCTCTCTCTCTTTTCTTTCTTTCTGTCGCGGGTTAAATCAGGCGGGCAAGCGGCTTGGTAAGCGTGCCGAGCTGTCCTTGGTCTAGGACTTGTCACGGCGTGACGCCGCCAGCGTCTTCAGACGGAAGGGATAGGCGGACTTCTCGAGCCCCCAATAGGACTGATTACACGAAGTCGGAAGAACCTTCCGGCGGCCTCCAAGGACGTCCAGCGAGCCAGGCGTGTCAGTGTCAGGGGGCCGCACTGCAGCCTGCGCGAAGCCTCCCCAGAGCGGGGCATTGGTGGAGGAAATCAGTAGTGGCCTTCGGCCCATCCTACCACCGTGCCTGGGTCCTGGGTGCCTCTTGAAGGCCCTCCTCTTGGGGGCCTCTGGGGGGGCCTCCTGAGGGCTTCTTGGGGGCCTTCTGAGGCCTTCTTGGGAGCCTCTTGGGGCCCACTTGGGGTGGAGGCCTCCAATTTACAGCTTTAGGGCCCCCTCTTGAGGGCATTTGGGCCCCTTCTTGGCTCGGAGACCCCAGGCAGGTCTTGGGACCTCTTGGGCCGTCGCCTTGGAC